GTGTATTGAAAACCGCTGTAGCACTTTTCATGCGATATAAAAATGTTCAGAATTTATTAGGATCTTAATTTATATTTAATTCGCCATATTTAACGTATTCACAATACAAACGAGAAATATCAGTTTTATCTTTGGCTCTTAATCTGGAGAATTCGGTATCTGCATCGAGATTATTAATTTTTTTAAACAGGCTATGATATTTTGCATTGAGACGGAAGTCCATGATTTTGTGTTTCGTAGTGTATGTTGGTACACATCTATTTAATTTTCCATAGAAATATGTACAGGCATCTTCTACATCATCAAATACCTCAAGAAAGTTCCATTTAACTCTACTGATCAGATCGTACAACACAGGGTAGTTTGCTTTGTAAGAGGTGTAACATTTATTGAAAGATAACCCAAAAAGTTTTGTTCTATCTAATGTTTGACTGGTATTGCATTGAATCTGAAAAGCAGGGTGGTGCAGGTCTTCGGCAACTTAGGGATAAAAAAATCTGGTAAAATTAGAATCGTGTTTGTATAACAACAAATCCAGAATTTGATCAAAATTGTTGCGTATAAAATTACATTGAGTAATGATAATAGCAAAATTGTTTAGTAGAACTGTATATGTATTCATATTGTTATTATTTATTAATTCCGCATATCCTGTTATGTGCAAATCCCCTAGAATGATAACTTTATTATCACACAAAAAGTCAAGTGCGTGCATTGCATTGCAACAAAGGTTCTTGCGTTCCTCAAAACCCAAAACCAAGGGCTCCAAACGGAACAGTGGCAAGTCATTCACAGGCAAGTGGAAGACAACGGTTAAACCATTGTGCTGTTGATTGACGACGACTCTCTGAAGGCTTTACAAAACCTGCAGTTAAGACCCTATCTGGGTCTAACTCAGGCAATCTTCAGAGTGCAAAGGGAGAGGAAGGAAGAACCTTCAGATGCTCAAAATAGTGCAAGCTATTCTAGGACACTGCAAGGCCGCCTCTGCAATCCTTGCACTTACCATTATCAGGAAGGATATATACGTAGCTTTAATACAAGAACCCTGGATCTACAAAGGACATGTGATGGGGCTCGGACTAACCAAAGGTAAGTTTATATACAATACCCAATATGGAAACACTAGGGCTTGTATATACATACGAAATGGTCTAGACATCCTGATCTTACAAGATTTCTGTTTTAAAGACCTAGTAGCAGTCAGGATGGAAATAAACATAGCAGGCAACAAGAGGCCACTCATTTTAACCTATGCATACCTTCCCTATGACTCACCTAGCCCTCCATAACAGATGGGATGAGGGATTTAGTAGACACCTGTCGGGCCGAAAACCTGCAAGTACTCTGTGCTGCTGACGCAAATTCACACCATATAACATGGGGCAGCAAGGGCAACAACAAAAGTGGTCTTTGCTTGAATTCATTCTAACCACTAACCTGAAAATATTAAATCGTGGAAACGAACTTACTTTTGTAACCAGTAGACGAAGCGAGGTTATAGATATTACCCTTGGTTCTTCCTTCGTTTCAAATCACATTGGCAAGTGGTACATATCTAGAGAGCGTTCGCTCTCAGACCATCAGCATATTCTCATGGAAGGTAAACCAGGAGATGTATACCGAGAGCCACATAAATGATATAGATGAAGTTGCAGAACAACTACGGGACGCAATTATAACATCACAATAACTGCTCGTTAAAGAACAGGAAAACTTCTAGGGAGAAGAGCTGGTGGAACACCAAACTCGCCAAACAAAGAAAGAAAAACACGTTAACTTTTTAATAAGGCTAAAAGACAAATGAGTAGGGGGAATACACCGAAACACTCACAAAGTATAACAAAACTCTTAGGAAATCTAAAAGGGATTCATGGAGAACATTCTGTCAGGAAATTGAAAATACAGTTGAAGGATGCAGACTCCACCGCATTCTAGCAAAAGATCCAATAAAGGGTGTGGGGACTTTAAAAACCCAAACAGGGGAATATACTAAAACTGAAATGAAAACATTAGAACTACTTCTTAAAACTCATTTCCCTGCACAACAAACTCGAATGCAGCAAACCAAACCCACAAGAACTGGAACTCTCAAAAGAGGGTCTCTAGCCAATAGTGAGAAACTGCTAAACGAGTAGTTACAACAGAGAAAGTAACATGGGCAATACGCACCAGGACCAGATGTGGTACTGCCTGTGCTTTTGCAACAGGCAATAAAAACGCTGGCCCTGCATATTTGTAGGCTTTACAGGGCAAGTTTGGTGCATAAACATGTACAAAATACCTGGAAACAAAGCAGAGTTGTCTTCATACCTAAACCAACGTATGCCGTGGCAAAGGCCTATAGACCAATAACTCTGACATCATTTCTATTGAAAGGATTGGAAAAACTGATTGATCAGCATGTCCGGCAAACCACTCTGATAGAGAGGCCATTTCATACAAATCAACATGCCTATCAATCAGGAAAATCTTGTAAGTCTGCTGTGCATCATCTTGTAACCAAGATAGGGGGAGGACTCAGTAGCCAAGAAATAGTCCTGGGAGCATTTCTTGACATAAAAGGAGTTTTTGATAATACCTCATTTAATAAATCAATGGTAGCTGCCGCTCGTAAACATGGAATAGAAGACACCATCTGCTGGTGGATAGAAGGCATGTTATGCGGACGGCAAGTACAGGTACAAATGTTCAGTGAAACCATGCAGGTGAATATCCACAGGGGATGCCCACAGGGTGGAGTCCTTTCTCCTCTACTGTGGAACCTCGTGGAACTGCGACATAGTCATCCTTATCAGAGGGAAACACCAATCCACAGTCTTTGAACTCATGCAAAGAGCTCTTAGGCTGACAGAAATGTGGTGAGTTAGAGAAAACCTTTTGCTAAACCCTGACAAGGCACAACTCATAACCTTTACTCGGAAAACAAGGTCGGAGGTTTAAGATACTTTGACACTGTTTAGAGAAAGGCTAAACAAAACAACAAAACGAACCAAGTAAAATATCTGGGTCTAATCCTAGATAGCAAACTTACTTGAAACCAACACTTACAAAAAGTGACCAACAAATGTAAAATGTCTCTCATTGTAGGGAGACGGGCATTTGTAAAAATGGTCCACTGGCTATATTTGGCAATAACAAGTTGTTTGATGGCCAAAAGTAAACCAGAAAACAGCCCTTAATACCCTCTCAGGAGTACAGAGGCTGGCATGCCTTTGTATTACAGGAGCACTGAGACGTACACCGATAGCCTCTATAGAAATCATTCTAAACCCTTCACCCCTTGACCTACTTATAAAGGGGGAGGCCAGAATGAGTGCATACAGACTGGAAATCTCCAACAACTGGAACCCACTGGGACATATAAAACATACCTGAATAACACATGAAGTAAATGATTTTATATTAAGTATAGGATCAGATCACATGACACTCCTCCTAACCTTTAACAAACTCTTCCAGGTCAACTGTAACTGGAACGAGGTAAATAAGGAGATAGATAAATACTTGCTTAGCGGTCTCGCATGGTATACGGATGGATCTAAAACTAACAAGGCAACAGGCTGTGGCGTACATGGAGTTAAACCCACTGGGAAAACACTATTTTTCAGGCTGAAATACATGCAATCGAATTGTGTGTACGAGAGAATTCAAGAAGGAAGTACAAAAAATAAACCATCCTAATTCTCTCATATAGCCAAGCAGCTTTAAAGGCTCTTGATTTAAACAAAATCAAGTCAAAGCTTGTCTGGAACTGCCTTGGAATACAAAATGATCTGGCAACCCACAACAAGGTAAAACTAGCGTGGGTACCAGGGCACAAAGGTATCCAAAGAAAAGAAAAGGCTGATGAACTCGCCAAAGAGGGATCAGATCTACCATTCACAGGACCCGAACCTGTATTTGGGATAATCAAAACCTCTGCTCCACAGACAGTAAATAGGTGGATAACCACAAAACACCAAATTCACTGGCAACAGATAAGAGGGCACATAATCACTAAGCTCATGCTAAGGGGACCAAACCCACGCATGGCTACTGAGGCAATACAACTGGCAAGGCCTCAGATATCCACCATTGTGGGATTACTAACGGGACACTGCTTGCTGAAACGCCGTCATGTAATGGGATTATACAATGATCCTAATACGTGTAGACTTTGCATGGAAAAGGAAGAAACCTCATACTATGTGATCTTTGAATGCGAAGCTCTTATTGGGCGACGTTTTATCCTTTTCGGCCTAGAACCGGAAAGAACACCCCAGGAACACTTGGTAGGGAACCTACTAAAACTAACCAAAGACACAGGACAATTCCAAAGATAGTACCTGAATACGGGGGAAAGCAGGGGAATACAATAGACCCAAGAGGCCGCAGTGTTCTGGGCCAAATCTAACCCTACCTACTTACAACCGATAAAGATAAAGAAAAGATAAAGATTGCATCAAATAGTTTTTTATACATATTTAGAGTTGTATTTGGTGGAATATAAGTAACCACAATAAAGACATTACCAGTTGAAAATTTTAGTTTTAATGGTAAAATACCTATAAGAGTGAAACTATAAAAAATCGTAGATAATTGAATTTAGGAGGAAATAATGTTATTACAAACAGACAAAAATACACCTCCTCCTCGTGATAAGTGTGTTTTAGAGAAAATCCTGTCAACTTTGAAAACATTGTACTCGACTTGAAAAAACGAATCTAGCCAAGTTTTAGTTACAACTACCAAATGGAAACAATGCTGTACAAGAATATTGTAAAACAGAAATATATCCCCATTTATTAAAAACATTAGTTTTAAGAATGCTAAACTTTTTAGCTAAATATCTATTTGTGACATATTCTCGCAAATTCGCCTTATGAAACGCCAATGCATACATTTTATATACAGGTATTATTTAAATACCGAGCACTTCTAGATCTCAACGACTTCCTGTCCCTTATCATTTTATTAACAGGCACAATTATTTTTTTCTCAATTAAATTTATATCTAAGGAAGAGGAAACTTGTAAGATTATTTTCAACGCGACCAATGATACATTTTGTGTAATTACTACGAGAACATCCTCGGTTTGTGGTCAAAAAAGTGGTTTTATAGAAGTTGAAAGACGGTTTGTGGAAAAAGTGCATTGTGCATTATATCAGTCCTGCAGATGTAATATTTTGTCGTTGGTAAAAAGTGATAATGTTTAATTTTAGATCGTTTATTCTTATGACTTGTTTTTTGGTTTCCGTTTTTAGTAGTAATCTGGTGAGTTAGTTTTTTCTATATATAAAATAGGTCATAAATTATACCAGATATTCATTTTATTTAATTTTGAAACTGTACAAGAAGTAAAAGTTTTTGAAAAACTGCTCTTTACAAAACCAAAGCCACCGGTGCAGACCATAAAAAACATTTACCATGGTACTCCACTGTTCCATTTATCATTCATCTGTACTGGAAGCATTTTGGAATTTTTTATTCAATAAATGTATAACATAAAAACTAATTAAAAAACGTAGGTACAATTACTGGAGTAAATTTCAAAATTAACACCTTGCACGTCAATATACTTCTGAGAACGTTTTAAAAGGTTTTTCTACTGATTTGTCAATCATTCCTGGATTATTTCTAAAGTTGTTACATACATTAAAAGTTTTGTCTATCAATTGTACCCGGGTATTAATTTTCTCGGTACCACTCTAATTTAAGGTCGACTCATAAAAAATAATCATAGTTATAAGATCGGAAGATCTCTATAGCCAGTTAACTTGATTGCCTCGACCTATTTATTAGGAAAATGTTAATTTAAATGGTCTCTGACTGGTATAGGAAAATGAGCTCTAAAACCATCACCTCTGTCAATAAAATTGCCAAAATATATCTCAGAATATTTTAATAAACTTTAACTGTTTATTTTCATTAAAAAATATAAAAGCCTATTGGCCGATTTTTTTAAATTTTATATCATATAATTATGAAAAATCTATATTGGGAATGTTTTTGTATCACTGTATATAAGGATTTTCAACTGCCCAAATATGCCCATTCTTAGAATTTTTTACGTGCAAATTGGGCTTTATCCATAAACATATTAGAAGCAGTAATATCTCTAGTCACGTCGTGGATGAGTGACCACTGGGAGGTTCCACCACGGGCCGCGACACCATGGGCCGTACCACCATGGGACTTAGTCGACTAGCGTTTAACCACGGACGACGTGGAATGAATCTCGATGAATGAAGCAATGAATTGGTGAATGGGAAAGTAGTAGGACCTTCAACTGGTGGTAGAATAAGAGACGGATTAGGGTAGCAAAAGGTGTAAAACTCAAAAATAAACAAAATAGAATCCTGTGAGCCTAAGGAGCCAAAGTCCACCTACAAAAAGTTAAGCGTAGTACGTCTCTATCTTGAAGTCACTGTACTTTTTGTACATGAGGTAGATACAAACTTTCTCTTTTTAAAAGTTTTTCATATTCTTGTTTTCGGTACTGTTAATTTGTATGGAATTGTTTCTTCTTACACTTATAAAAGTATTATTTTGAACAAACTGAATTATCTCCATTTCTTGTCGGATATTATTTTTCGGAGCATGTTTTTGGGGTCCGGTGATGAATACAGATGCACGAATTTGCAAAAAAATTAAACACTAAAAATTAACTAGTTTCTATAGTAAATTATAGAAAAAAAAAAATATGCGGAAAAAATATTATTTTTCGAGGAAATTGTAATTAAAAATCTAGATTTTGTAGGTTATATTGTTAAATTTTGTCTTGAGAACAACAACGTTGTTAAATTGCAAATTATATTAGAAATATCAAAAAAATCTGACACTAATTAATATAATCGATGTTAAGACAAAATAGGTGAATAATTTTAAAAAAATTTATAATATATTAAAGAAAATAAAAATATTTTCCTAGTATTTTAATTAAAAAAAACCTAACGAATTTACCTTTCCTGTCTTTTGCAGAAAAATTATTCATAAAATGAAAAAATAAAAAAACACTTAACTAATTTACCCAACGTGTGCGGCCTGGAGCCATCGTGGTTGCTTCGCAGAAAAATTGTACATAAAATGAGAAAACTTAAAAAACCTTAACCAAATTACCTAACCTGTGCGGCCTTTTATTTTCGAAATTTTATCATTCGAATTTTTATAGTTTAAACTATTGTTTTCGGAAATTTTTAATTCAAACTTTTTGTTATTTGAACTTATTTTAGCAACTCATTTTGTTTTTTTTTTTAATTTCTTCTCTTTAGAACACAAATTCACTATAACTTTAAAAAACTAAATGACCACTTATTTCAAAAAAGATGGTTCAATTTACGTCAGTTTGCTTTTCGTTGCAGAAATTTATGTTAAAAGTTAGGATAAATTGTGAAAATAGTAGCCCGTGTCTAATTTTTCTTAAAATATTATAAAAAGTAAGATAGTTTAATAAAACTTCGAAATTAGTTCATCTGGATTCTTCACCGGAAACTATTTTCGTGTAGCTATTATTCGAAGCTTATTATGTTGAAAAACCTGCGAAAATGTCTTATAATTTTTTTTCGGAAAAATACGCGGTAGCTATTCTGAACATTTAAGCAAATTTTTAAGTTCATTTGAAAAAAGTTACTTATTTTTTAACTTTGTTTTTAGGAAGACGTGGATTTCGACTTTAGTGATGACATTTCAGGTAATATTTTTATTTTGGTCTTTTACAGTAAGTATTATGTAGAGGTTTAAATTTTGCATGATTTTGCATGGATTTGCATATTTTTACCTGTTTTTTATTTAGTTTTGCACATTTTACATATTTTTACATATTTTCAAATATTTCTAAATATATTTGCCTGTTTTGTATATTCTTGCATGTGTTTGCATATATTTGCATATTTTTGCATATTTTTTTGCATATTTTTGCATATTTTTTTGCATATTTTTGCATATTTTTTTTGCACATTTTTGCATATTTTTTTTGCATATTTTTGCATTTTTTTTTGCATAATTTTGCATATTCTTGCATATTTTTGTATATTTTTTGCATATTTTTGCATATTTTTACATATATTTTCTTTTTTTTTTTTTCTTCATATTTTTGCATATTTTTGCATATTTTTGCATATTTTTGCATATTTTTGCATATTTCTGCATATTTCTGCATATTTCTGCATATTTCTGCATATTTCTGCATATTTCTGCATATTTCTGCATATTTATGCATATTTATGCATATTTATGCATATTTATGCATATTTATGCATATTTATGCATATTTATGCATATTTATGCATATTTATGCATAATTATGCATATTTATGCATATTTATGCACATTTATGCATATTTATGTATATTTATGCATATTTATGCACATTTATGCTTATTTATGCATATTTATGCATATTTATGCCTATTTATGCCTATTTATGCATATTTATGCATATTCTAAATATTTTTCAATATTCTTGCATATATTTACATATAATTTGCATATTTTTAATATATATTTGGTAATTGCATATTCTGTTGCTTGGAATATAAAATATAAACTAAAATGTTTATCGTGAATTTTAATAGATAAGCGATTTAAAAGGGAATTAAAGACCGGTGGAAATAAAGCATCTAAAACCGGAAAATCACTGGAATGCGTTTCTCCAATTTGCAAATCCGCTACCTCCCAAATGCTGGTCGCCATGGACCATTACGCGGAAGCTTGCGAAGAGTTTCAAGAATTGGTATGCGGTAATAAAATACAAATCAACGGTTTGACGATGGAAAATTTCGATGTGCTGAATAACTATGTCAATACTAAAATCACTTACAAGTCTGAGAAATTCCTGCAGGATTTCAAAATGTTTTACGAGAGCTGTACGCATTATTCCATTGAATTTAATTTTTTGAAAAATTTAGATTTCGGTACGTAACACTTTGTTCTGTCAATATTTTTTATTTTTTTTTATTAAAATGTACTTACTATACATGAGGAAGTAACACTTTCTTTACTATAAAGCGTAAGTAAAGATAGTACTTTAGTTACCGTAGTATATTTTTTTTTAGTAAACACTTTATCTGCTGGGGACATCACAGAGGTATTTGTAGAATCGATTCTTACTCAGTCGATGCCGTTTTTTGATATTGGCCTTGATATAGGAACTACAGATGAATCTTATCAGTTTTTGGTAAGCATCACATCACCGAAATATTTCTTATTGGTTCTGAATAAAAAAAAAATGTATATTTATCCTTGCCGCACAGTACTATTAATTATTTATCACATATTTATATTTTGGAAAAGTTGGCCTGTGACAGTAAAATTGACACTAATATCCAGAATATTACCCAATATTTTTAACGAGAAAACAACTCGTCATTAAAAAAAGAATCCTAAAGTCTTTATAACGTAGTGTTTTGTGCGATTACGAAGAGGTCTTTTTTTGCAAAAGTTCCACTAATGAACGGTTAGTAAATTTTTTCGAAAATACTTTTGCAAAACGCTATCAAATAGTTAAAACATTTGAAAGATTTTGAGCTTTTATCCACTAGTTTAAAAGTGACTTACTCTTTAACCAGTCTTTGTTTCTCCTTTCATCTCATGATTGTCTTCTAAACTTGTTCGTATCCTTTTTTTTTATCTACACTTTATTCTTTATACAATTTTGCCTTCAAATACCTAAAATATTATATTATTAATTTAGTATTTTTTGATCAAAACATTGTTTCAGCTAACTCTTCCAGGAGAAAGCTACCTCAAAACTCATACTTTGGGTTGGTCAATCTTAGAGAAAACTCAAAAAGGCTGCCTGGAAATTACACAGGATTCCATTGCAACCAAGACTATAGACTTGGATGCAATTCACAAGAATTATACAACTTGCAAACATGAAATGTTGTTAAAATATGCCAAAAATTTCGAAAACGTTATGATATCAGCAAATAAAATGACTAACAATGAGGTAAGAAGTTTTAAAATATTCTGCAATACATACTATTTGGATAGACATATTAATATTATGTTAATAACAATACTATTTTACATACCATTTTATTTCAAACCTTTGTTGTTAACTAAGTAATATTATTTCGAATGTTTTAACATAATTTTTATATTTTAGGCATTTCTGAATGAATTACTGGAACTTTATCAAGTACGTCAATTAAATTCAGTAATTTCCCGTTTTATTCCATAGGGAGGGTGGGGCAAGTGAGACCTTAAGGTTAAACAATTAATAACTTTTATACTTGTAGAAATGAAACAACGTGTATTGAATAAAAATAAACTTTAATTCTTTAGGTCAACCTAACCTTGAAAAATGAGGAAAATTTAAAGTTTTAATTAAAGGTCAGACTTAGAAAAAAAATTGTCAAATGACTCACTTACCCCAAGTTATGGAGCAATTGAATCACCCAGTTGGGGTAAGTGAGTCTTTATACTAATTATCATCGGCAGTTGTCATAAACATAGTTATCAGCACCCGGTTCGTTATCTGAATACTCCTCATGCATCCAGGCACCACATTTTATGCACATAATCCATTCGTCGTGACAAGTGTCTCTATATGTCTTATGACAGTAAACGCATATTGTGGCTTTCTCTTCTCTGACATTGCTGCTGATGCTTTTGCCGTTTTCTTTCAAATTTTCAAGACACGAACTTGGCTTTGCTTTGTTAAAATTCTTTTTGACTGATTTAGCTTTTACTGTTTTTAATTTATCTTTCAATTTCTCTTTGAGTTGATCTTTGTAAGGTGAACTGGTGATTATTTTAGATCCTTCTGTAGTTCTGGATTTTGCTTTGATTTTTCTTTTCTCTTCACAGGGTTTTGATATTGGACTTAATTCTGAGATAGAGACATAACTGCATGACGGTTGATCTGGTTCTAAAAATATTTTGGAGTTGCTTTCCCTTTGAGATGGTTTCAAGATTAGGCTTGAATTTAAAATAGAAACAGAACTGCATGACGGTTGATCTGGTTCTAAAATATTTTGGAGTTGCTTTTCCTTTAAGATGGTTTCAAGATTAGTCTTGAATTTAAAATAGTAACAGAACTGCATGACGGTTGATCTGGTTCTAAAAGTGTTTTGGAGTTGCTTTTCCCTTAAGATGGTTTCGAGATTAGGCTTGAATTGCGTGACGGTTGTTCTGTTGCCTTTAAAACTGGTAGTATGTTAGGATCATTCTGGATGTAATCTTCAGGCAATTCTGGATTAGGTACATCTTCTAAGTTTGCGGAATTGACCAAAGGATTGACGCTTTCTGGATTTGATTCTTTTTGAAGAATGTTCTCGGCCACCTCAAAGTCCCTCTCTTGGAACACATCCGGGTCACAAGGGAAGATTCCTGTTTTTTCAAAACCCTTCATAATATTTATTGGTGTAAATGCTTTAATAAAGGCGGTTTTTATAATAGGAGCCATGTCAAATTTGGTGATTCTAGAGCCAGGGTGATTTGTCAGCCAATAGTCCATTTCTCTTGCTAGGTAGGTTTTGAAGGGCCCAAATACGCTTACATCAAGATGCTGTAGCCTATTCGAAGTATGAGGTGGTAACGTCAAAATAGAAACTCCAGAATTTCTAGCCAGGGTTATTGATTCAATGGAATTGTGACTTGAATGACCGTCCAGTATCAGTAGGCTCGAAGACTCTTTGGTTGTTTGTGTAGTCTATAAAATGTTTTAAAAATTTAACAAATAGGTCGGCATTCATCCATCCGGATTGAGCAGAAAATCCTACTGTTCCAGGAAATGCACCATTTAACAAGGTTGGGTTCATTCTTACATGAGGGAAGACCATAAATGGTGAAATAAATGTGCCCGTAGCACTAACACATGCTAGTAATGTAGTATTTTTTCCTCTTTCCAATGAAGTTAATCTTCCCACTTGCTTTTTTCCTTTTTCCGCTACTATTTTTCCTGGTTTTTGAACGCAGGTAATCCCTGTCTCATCACAGTTAAATATGCGATACGGAGGGAAATTGTACTTGTTTAAGAGCTCTTTTAAATAAAAAAAAAACTCATTGACTCTGTGTTTGGAAAATTCTGTCACTCTCGCAATGCTTGTTGCTTCAGGTCTTCTAATAGAGAGGTTTTTTTGATGCTTTAAAAATGATATCAACCAGTCTTTTCCTGCCAGCTTCCGATCTTTATTGAACGGATGATTGATTTGGTTAACTTCAGCAAACTGAAATGCAATCCGTCGAAGATCTGCCGTTGAGAGTCCATAGAATAGCTTCTCTAAGTGTATTATATGTTCACTCAAATCCATTTCCATTTTTTCACTGAACACGGGTTTGAACCTGCCTAGGTTTAGAACCGGATTCTGCCCCTGTCGCTTCAATCGTGAGTGTATGCTGGTTCTCGGAATGTTAAAAACAACACTAGCTTTCTTGATTGACATCTCCTTATTCTGAATAGCTTCTAAGCCACGCTGCATAGCATCTTCGGAATATGATCTCTTTTAGGTCTTGCGCACGTAGGTACGGACCATTTTCCACCACTGCAAAAAAAAACAATAACTTTTTTTAAATAATCCTATAATAAACCAACTGTGGGGCAAGTGCCCCACAGCGACATCAAAATTAAAAAAACAAAATCAAGCTCAACAGGTACATTTGGCAACGTTCTAAGAATCAGGCGGTATTTCTCGAATATGAGGTTATGTTATGTTTATATTGAATTATGTAGATAGTGCCTTTAAATTTAGAAAAACATTGTGATTTCATAGACACTATCCACTTATTGTTGTACGTGAACTGAACCGATTTTTGCCGGCTATGTTGCCGATTATACAAATTATTCCAAAAGACGCACTTGCCCCCTATGACTCACTTGCCCCACTCCCCCCTACTGTGTAAACGATTGATTTCAAGGACATATTGTTTATTTTTTAGCTGAATCTTCTACCTACAGAGTTTATAAGAAGCACAATGAATTCCAGAACGTTTACAGAAATGACAATTAACGAAATAAAAAGCAAATACGGCGTTATAGATTGGAAACTGTTTTTCGAAAAAATTACGTCCAATAAAACGTTTACAGGAGACGAAAAAGTATTGGTAGCTTTTCCGGGTTATTTCCAGAATGTATTTAATGCTCTAAGTAAATACGATACAGGGTAAGGCAAATATCCTTTATATCAGCGCAAATAAACATAGAAATCCTTCGTCCCTGGGGCATTTCAAATATTGGTAGCAATTACGATACCCTACTTTTATAGCTTTATCTTTTTACCTTTTCAATACATAACCTAAAAGTAAGTTATGATTAAGCACCTTTTATAAACGGGGCGTGAAAGGTAATTTTTCTTTTACCTTTAGTATTTTTAAGTTATCAATTGAAATAAAAAGTAGTAAAAAACTATCACTATTAGGCTTTATTATAATAACAAAAACCGAAATATTACAATGGGTGATCAATTAAAAAAAAAATAACTTTTAAATATATAAAATAATCATGTAGGTTTGTTTATAGATTTGTCAATTAATAATTGTCACATATTCTTTGCATAATAAAGTTAATTTGCATTCATCGAGTTCTGCCTTATATCAGCATATTATGGGCCAAGAAGACGATATTCCCTAATTCCGAATTCTTCTTTTTAATGACTGTAACGCCTTTATCGGGCAATTATGATAGTAATGAAAATGATAACCTCGCGTCTGACTATCAAAAACTATCATATATTACAGTTCATCAAATTTCTAGAGGTGTTCGACGCCCAGACAGAGAACGCGCTACGTGTGACTAAGATAGCTATTGTACAGTCTGCTAAACAAGTTATTTTAAATAGTTTTTAATATTTTTAGGTAATTACATTTTAAAAGTGTGGAATAGTTTAGGGATTAAATTGGTCTGATTGGACTTTCTTAGAACGTTTTTAAAAGCAGCTAAAGATAGTATGTAGAATCGAAAATAATTATTATGCCATAAAAGGTGTTTTGGAATTCCTTCAACCTTTTGAAATTGAGTCAGAAAATATAAATTTTATAGGATAGCGGAAAATACCTATAATTTTTTTGTAGGCCTTTGTAAATCGTGGAAATAGTTTATATTTTATTTCTACCTTATTAAGGAAAATGGTACCTATTATTAATAACGGTTGTTTCTGAAACATTACTAAAATTTTCGAAATTTTGTTTTTCTACAAAATAATAAACTATACTATTTAGAAAAAAAATTATTTCTCTTATAATTTTATAAAAAATAACAGGGGAATATTTACATTTCTTGATCTATTAAACAAAACGATAAATTATCTCGATGAATGACACCATGTTCTAGTACGGAAGCTAGCTTTACATTTTTGTTGGTGGTTTCATGGGTTTCATATCAATTTTTTGTAATTGTAGTTTACACGTACATATACCTCTTAACACTTGTTTGCTTTATTAAAAAAGTGTGTTGTTATGATTTACGTCGAAATAAGTCAAAAACAACTTGAAACCCCATATAAAATCAAAAAGGAGAAACGGAAAAAAATTGAGCCTGTAAATGAACACAACTCAGAAACAAAAATAGCTATCTAATAATAAAAAAATAAAATTTAATTCTTGTGCAGCTTCATCTATATCATTAACTGTTTTTGGTTTTTTAATGGTTTTTCTTGGTGATGAAAATTCCGATATCTCACGGTTATCGATTATTTTTTTCTCTCCAGAAATGCGGACGACAGTGTTTTTAGATACTCCTGTGGCTGCAGCAACACGATCATTTACATTTTTAAATGGTATTGAAGGTGAATTAAAGTTTCCTTCTCTTCTCATAAACTCTATAACATTGGCTATTATTTCGCGAGATTGACTGTTAATCACGCGGCCTCTTAATTTGCTATTAAACTCCATACTTAGGTTCTATTAAACTGTAATGAGCAAAAAACACAAACGAAAATAAAAGAAATGTTTTAGCGAAATTTACATCTGACATTTACGTCTGAATGAAATAGTGAAATACTTGATGCGCAGAGTGTACTTTCATTGCGTAAATCCGTCGGGATGCCTGTCAGTAGTGCTTTCTCTGTCTAGCCGTCGAAAGCCTCTAGAAATTTGATGAACTGTACTATTAATTAATTTAAAACCATAACAACCTAAAATCATTACTTACAGGGTATCATAAAATATAAACATAATTACAATAAAATAATAATAATAAAATAATTTCTACATTCTTCTTCCCGAAATAAAAAAAAAACTATTTTTCTGTGGTGGCGATCTTGCATAGCTTATTCACTGGCCTACGGAATATACCAGTAGCATTTTGGACCTCAGCTATTCTTACTACCCCATCCTTTCCAGGGTAAGTCTTGGAAATATTTCCTTTGGGCCAAGTGTTTTGGGGATCATTGTTGTCTGCGATAACCACAATATCTCCAACGTCTATATTTTGGATATTCCGGAAACATTTTTGGCGTCTATTTAGTGTTGGGAAGTATTCTTTTACCAAAAGTTGCCAAAATCTGTCTGCTAAGTCTTGTACCAATTGCCATTGTCTTCTTGAATCTAGAAATGCTGCCCCGCAATTCATACCAATTAAGAAATGGTTTAAAGTCAAACATGCAGGGTCTGTGGGTACATATGTGAGAGGTCTACTGTTGACGCTTCACTTGATTTCACATAAAAGGGTCAAGAGGGAATCTTCGTCGGAAACTGCTTCTTTCAAAATTATTTTTAATTTAGTTTTTACCGTTTGAATTAATCTTTCCCAGACTCCTGCAAAATTTGGAGCTAGTGGTGGTAAAAAGTACCATTTCATATATTTCATGAATAATAATTCTCTAATTATGTCATCTTGAGAGATATTTTTTAAGGCTGTCTGGAGTTTCTTGTCGGTACCTTTAAAGTTTGTGGCGTTATCATATTACATGTTTTGGGGACATCCTCTTCTGCTGATCATCCTTTTTATTGCCATATTAGCTAAATGTGTGTCAATTCTAGATGTATGGCTCTTGTAGCCATGCAGGTAGATATTACTCCGTAACGTTTTTCCTGTCTTCCGCAGTTAGTAAAGGGTCTTACAAATCCAGTAATTCTTGGAAAATGTAGGCCGCTTATTTCAGGTGTTGCCGGTTTTGATTTTTACAGAGCATATATCTACTAAATCCTTTTTTTACAGCATATCTCATATGGGTGATCCAATATTTTGATCGAAGTTTGTTGATTACCGTTTCGATCCCTACGTAGTTAAACATTTTATGAAAATAATTTATTAAAATTTCTGTATAATAATGTTTGTCTGTTAAAATAATAGACATTTTCTAATATTCTTTCAAATTGGGATTATGCTTGAGTCGTCCTTTTATTCTGAGGATATCATCTGCATCTACATATGGGGACAGTCGTATACTTTACTAGCTTTTTTATATTTTTTTTTTAAATCTCAACTCTTCTATCGCTTTATAAAACATTTCCTGTTGTACACTTCGTAACCAAATTTTTTCAGGTTTTGACAATTCTTCTGGTTACAATTCTGTGCATTTTTTAGGTTTATCTATCTTCTTAATAAAAATTTTCCAATTTTCTAAGAAACTTAATATCCATGCAGGAGACCGAATAAGTTGTGTCCAATATGAGTACTTCTTAAGATCCAGTAAAGCATTGTTTACAATTAATAATCCGACAAATTTATGCTTCTGTTTAATTTATCCACATGCCAATGGCCTTCGCTTTTCATCAGAAATTCTGTACCTCTTAGCCAAGCGACATTGTCAATATAATTTGATTTAGTTAGATTGTCTGCCATATTATTTTTGCTATCTATCCATCTTCATTCTTTGTCATCACTTTTGTTTATATATTTTTTATAGCTTCTTACATCCGAACGAAGCCAAAATAAAACTGTTTTTGATTCACACCAATAAGTAGTTTTTTCTTTTGGAATAGTATGGCCTTGTCTTATGAAGATACCTAGTCTTACTCCTAATACAGCTGCCATCAGGCTGGGGATAATTATTGTTGTAACTGGGCCTACTCGGGCTTTAGCTGTTACAAACGAATTTTTCCAGTTTTCATATTGATCTTTATGGGATCCGGACAGTTTTTCGAATGATAATTATTCGAACGGCAGTTCTTCGAACGACATTTATTCGAATGGACAGTTATTCGAAAAGACAATTCTTCGAACTGATAATTTTTCGAATGTACGATTCTTCGAATAGACAATTTCTCGAAATAAGTTGGTTTTATTTTATATAATTTAATTTTGACATTGTATTCAGTCTAATTTTAGTGTTTATAAAGATGCCTCTCGAATTCCTTTTTAGTGAAAAAGGAAAAAAAAAGTTATTTTTGAACGGATTTTTATTCGTTAAAGACAAAGCCGTTGATTAAAAAACATATTGGAAGTGCGAGTTCTTTTTGTCTAAGAAATGTAAATCGCGAGCAATTACAAGCCACGATGATGTTTGCAAAGATACTTCTCACAACCACCCCGCGGATGTAGCAGAAGTAGATGCCATACGTTTTAAGAATAAACTGAAGGACAATGCTCGGACAACAACAAACACTCCACACTACCTAGTATCGGCACTATCAAGTGAAGTGGACAAACTAACAGCAGCCAAACTAAGTAAAGTAAATAGTTTAAAGCGAACAATACGCAGGGAAGAAGTGAAAGAAAACATGGAACCCACACAGCCGAAAAGTCTAGAGGAGTTGTATCTACCTGATTCTTTTAAAACCACCACAAAAGGCGAGCCATTTCTACTTTTCGATTCTGGAAACATTAAACAAAGAATTCAGATTTTCAGCACGAAAGACAACCTGGATTATTTACAAAAAGCTGAATACATATACATGGATGGAACTTTTAAGACTGCACCTATGCTTTTTTACCAGCTCTACACCATACATACATTTATAAACGAGGAATCCGTACCACTGGTATATGCACTTTTACCTGATAAATCAAAAGACACTTACATAAAGTTAATTTCGGCCCTTAAAGATCTAGCACCAGCTCTCAGACCGCAATCGGTTCTAATAGATTTTGAGCGATGATAGGAGCGATACATCAAAAATTTCCGAATGCAACTGTACAAGGTTATTTCTTCCACTTTTCACAGGCAATTTACAGAAAATTTCAAACAGCTGGCTTTAAACAGCGATATGACACCGACAAAAA